TGGGCCGTGATGATGGCTGAGAGACAACCAGAGTGGGGTCATCTGATGGTCTCCTATCCAGACTGTCACTGAGACTACGTGCCGTCCCTTGAGAGCTCGGCCTGTGCGCGTTGTTAATGTGTGACCGAGAGGGACGTAATAGAGCACTCGTGATGGAGAGAGAAATAACACCACCTCTCATCCCATCAAACACTCACTGACACACAAACACTGTTTACTGTATTTTAGAAAAATTGCTTTATATTAAGAAACAGTTGGGACCAGAAGCGACAGCTACTTCTAACATTCATTCTGTGTTGAAATGGAGGGGAATGAGAGCTTCTGCTCTGTCACTGAGTGAACACTGCTGCTATAAGAGCCACCTGTGGTTATTACGATAGTGGAAAAAGTAAAAGACTGAGAAACTGCAGACTCAATTCACTCACACTCTGCCTGCAAGCATTTAAAGTCAGCATGAAGCCAAAATTGACCCCATTTACTTTTTTTTTTTATATATATATATATAAAAGAACCCCATTTTAGGTTACTATATTAGGTTATGCTGCCATTCTTACATTTTACCAATAGAAAAAGCGTTCATTTAATGTTGGTTAACTTATAAATGTTACAAATAATAATAGATTTGAAAAAGGTGCATTACTGTTGGTGTGCATCCTGTCCCAACCTACATTTGATTTAATCAATGAACATACTGTTTTACTCATAAATGTGTCACATTATAGATGTAAAATGGGTTGTCAAGGGTGTTTCACATTGGCTTTAAGGGATTTGTGTTATGAGGCATTTGTATCAGGAGGACTGGAATCTACAGCATTTTTCAATCAATTCCGCATGTTCACCATCGCTAGCAAACAGAAACAATGCAAGAACATTTTCTAATATGCAAAATTATTACCATCATAAATGACACTTTTTTTTGTGTTACGCCTGTGGTCTGGCTTCAAACCCATTTTTGCTTCAAGAACACCATGGAGTTAGTCAACACTAGCTCTGATTAGGTTTGCACTGATGCGCTCCATCTGCTCAGTGTACTGTCTTTAACCCCGCCGCACTAAACTTCAATGACGTGTCCCAACCCTCTTATCTGACTGATTTACAAACTTTGGCCGCAAAATTGCATCCTGTGAACTAATCCCGTGTGTAAGCTTTCCAAGGTTAGGAATTGTTTAAGAGTTTGGAAAGTTTTTTTTGGTCCTTGTTCCAATGTTTTTAATTTTTGAAAGATGTCCTTAAACCCATGTCTCACTGTTATTCTTCTTCTTTTTTTTTTTTAAGTATATACAATACCCATTTTTCTTTTATATTTTTCCACTGTTATAGGCTACATTGTGTATTTAAATCTGAAATAGTCAGATGTTGAGTTGTTAGTGTCGAATGACAGTATCATGTTGAACAACCAACAAGAGTTTGGCATTAGCAATTTTAATTTTTACTGCTATTCTTTTTTTATGTTTTGCAATGCATTGGTTTCAGGCTTAATGCACGTAAACATTTCACTACGAATCATCTCATAAACCGTTGCAAATGTGTATGAAATCTGGGGCATATCTGTTTAATATGCAACGAAGATATTGCTTTTTGCTAACTGTCTAAATATGTATCTAAGTATCTAAAGGTGCAAGAGAATCTCAGTGCTTGATACTCCAACACAAGTGTTGTAATGTCATTTTTTAGTTGTTATTTTTTGTACGATGTTCATTGTTGTATGTTGTCATTTGTTTTGTATCATATATTTTGTCACGTATTGATTTTAAGGGTGTGCTAAGCATAGATACGATTTTGCATTATTAAACATTTTTTTCTTTCATTTCCTAATCTCAGATTAGAATTAATTTGTTGGATTTTCATCTGTGGATACTACCATGAAGCACATGCAAATTAATAATCACATTATAGTTTGTAGCAATTGTAAAGTAAAAGTTAATTATTAATTGGCCAAATACTAATTAATTTTTCAGAAAGGTAAGGTCCCTATATTTCTATCATATTGAAGATGGCCCAGAAACATTATCTCCAGAACATCTAAAAGCTTGCACACCCATGCCATCTGATTGTATATTTTGGGAAATTTTTTCAACAGTCATTGAAACTAATTTTGTACCCATTTATTGTTTTAATGTTTCATTTTTATTTTGTTTTTGTACCTATTAATTCATTAAGTTGTAGATCTGAATGAAATGTTGGCATTTGTTGGTACTGAATTCCGATATTTTAATGGACAGCATTGCAGGGACGAGAAAGTTTTCTTATTGGTGATCTAAATGACCACAGCACCACTTCACAAATTATTGAATTTGTTCTCCCATTAACAGACTGCCATAAAATGATCTATTCATTTGGTATGCTTGGGGTAAAAAAGGGATCTAAAAAGTAATTGAGTTCCATAATCGCTGTCATATCTGTATTTTTGTACTGCCATCCTAACCACCACCAGTAAGCTGCATATACAAGCTGTAGAAACGTATGCTCTCGAGTGGCGTGTTTAATGTAGTGTCCCGGTGAGTGGCAGTTATCAGATATCTTGTGAACCCAGATTTGTCCTGTGGAGTATTTTGCTACATGTAAAGCACTATAAATATATTAGGTGGTGCACTAAATTGCATTCTTTAAATCCTACTATTTTTTAAATAAAGGAAAGTGTGTTGCCAAACCCCCGTGAGAATGTTATTTATTGCTTTTTTCATTTTTATACACCCTTTATGTGACCCTGGACCACAAAACCAGTCTTAAGTCGCTGGGGTATATTTGTAGCAATAGCCAAAAATACATTGTATGGGTCAAAATTATTGATTTTTCTTTTATGCCAAAACTCATAACGATATTAAGTAAAGATCATGCTCCATGAAGATATTTTGTAAATTTCCTACCGTAAATATATTAAAACTTAATTTTTGATCAGTAATATGCATTGCTAAGAAGTTCATTTGGACAACTTTAAAGGCGATTTTCTCAATATTTTGATTTTTTTGCACCCTCCGATTTCAGATTTTCAAATAGTTTTATCTCGTCCAAATATTGTCCTATCCTAACAACCTATACATCAATGGAAAGCTTATTTATTCAGCGTTCAGACACTGTATAAATCTCAATTTTGAAAAATTGACCAGTCAGGTTTTGTGGTCCAGGGTCACATATGTACTCTTTTAGAGGATTAAAATTTTATCAGAACATGGGCCATTTTACAATGGAGACAGCATTTCCATTTCATCTTATTTAAATTAAGATCACACTACATGATTGTATTTATGTTCGAATTCTGGGTTCAAGTTGTATGTTACAAATGAAATTTGTCAGTGGTTTTACTGGTTCCTTTATTATATTGCAGGTATATATAGTTTTTTTTTTTTTTGGCATTATTGGAATGGGATGACACTTGGTGACTCTTCTCACAGTATGTGAACACACACACACACACACACACACACACAAATCATGGACATGATTTTGATATGTTAATGAGCCAAAAAAAATAAAAACAATGAAAAAAATAGCTAGTAAATATTACATAGTAAAAAATCCCCTCAAAATTCTAAATAATAATGAAAAATATGATTGAACAAAAATTGAATTACATTGATTTTCCAGGGGAAAAAATGCATTTCAAGGCTTCAGTCACTTTTGTGCAGCTGCTGTTAACCGTGAAAGTGTGGGCCATTTCAAATTGACTTGCAACATAATACAGGAACCATTAAACATATTGATAAATTTCAGTTTCCTGTTGTCAAGATGGTATAAGACTGATCACAAATATATCATAAATAGCAAAAAAAAAAAAAGTCATCATACTGTTAATAGTCCTAATACAAATAATTAGCTTTCACTGAAAATCAAAATAATATGTGCTTTTCTAAAACCAACTATGCAAAGCACTGCTTTAATATAGAAAGCTTTGTATATCAGTCCCATTAAGTGAAGTCATTAGACATTGCAGAGCAATACTGTTCTTGGTCAGATCAATACTCTTATAGCTACAGTATATTTTGAAAGCTACTGAGTAGCATCTGAATGTGGTAATATGAGTATTATGATAGACTATACCGGATCCATATCACATAGAGTGGATACACCCAGTGTATTTGTGGATGAGGGCGGAAACAAACAAATCAATGTCTTGGATCTCATGAAGTACACTGGTCTGTCTCCAAACTTTCAAAGAAAATCATTTCAGGGCCTGTAGCAATAAACCTGTGAGAAAGATTCTCAACAACCCGATTGATTGTCCTTCGGCTCTCGTGATTAAAGGATTCAATGAGCTTTACAGATGCAGTCCAAATAAAACAGCAGAGCTCCCAATGGGAAAAGCCAGTCAGACAACCAGCAGAGCCCAAACCACTCCTGAAACTGCAGTTTCACGATGGGCCATTTATATTTAGAATGGCTTTCCAGCAGTAGAGGAGTAGTCTCGCGTAGCCAGACCTTCAGACTGACGGCTGAAAAGCGCTCGTCGTCACAGTTGTAAACACGACGGCTTTCTTCTTTCGTGAGGGGGTTTGGCGCCACGGCATCTTTGTTTCCAGGCGGAACGTTAAAGAATGCGACACACGCGTCTCCCAGAAATCCTGTATAATTCAACCAATCCGATGACGACTTCGAAACTCCTGAAGTGTTTCCACTTTTGTGTGCCGTATGCATCAGACGTTCAGCCAATGATCCGTGGGCGTGACGTCTGAGGCTGAGACTAGTAGAGGAGTGCTTGCACTGCCTGCCCTGGTTTCACAGTCCTTGATCTATAAGAGTCCCGCAGCAGCCCTACTAATAAAATCATCACTTTGAACCGAAAAGCAGGCAGGTAACAGTCTGATTCACTGAAGTCTCAGGGTCTCTTTTTCTTCTGTCTATTATCACCCGCCATTATATCTTCTCATATTGTGATAGAGGAGAATATTGTCGAACCTAGAACATCGAAAAGCCTTGTCTGTTTTGCCTAGCTGCAAATTCTTGCCCTGGTGGTACTGGTGATAGAAAACAATGGATCGGAGCTTTCAAAGCATCCAAAGGTGGCTTTTGTGTAGCGTGTGCTCTGGCCATTTCCACAGACACTAATGTACGTCAGTCCACATGAACAGCAGCTGTTGCAGTCCATTTCAAGCTATAGCTACGGACCGAAACGTTTATGGTGGATGGTATATCTGTTTGGCCTGGCCTGCTCTGCAATTGCTGAATTTTTTAAATCTTCAGCCTCTACAAATCTGTTATAATGGATAGGCAGGTGAGCCTTACCAGGACAGAAATGTTCTCTTTCGTCAACCCTTGGATTCGGTGCTTCCTGTTCTTCTTCAGCTTTTTATTCTGGGTAAGTGAGGCCTCTGACACCAGCTCCAAATGTTGTTTTGCTGAGGGAGAGGACATTTCCAGGCTGCAGAGCACAAGCTCTTTGGCCAGCTTTGAAATGAATAAAACATCAGGGGGTATAATTTAGTCTTCAACAGACTCGCTGTTGCAATTGTTCTGCAACCGTGATGTTTTCAACACAACACGACTCAATTCGGAGCACTCTATTTGCATACAATTGCAAGGAATTTTATAGCTATGAAAAGAGTAAAAATACCACTCTCCAGCATGTAATCGCGGAATATGATGCAGCGGAAGGCTTGAATCCCCCAAAGAAACGTGCAATCAAAACAAAAGCATCTGTTCTCATGTTCTTCTTCTGTTCGTAGTGTTTGTGTTGTGTTTTATCAGTGCATTGACTGTGATGGAGTCTGCACAGATCTGCCATTCAGAATCAAGTGAATTGTTCATGCTGCAGAATTTGCCTCGGATTGTGCTTTTGTTCAAGACTCTCAAGCTTCCTGTAAACTTCCCATTGGATTTAAAATGTTCTGTACAGGATGAAAACACAACATTTCAAAATGCATCTTGAATAGGAAAAAAAAAAACTCTCCAACTCTCAATTCTGACCAAGACATCTACCTAAAACTGAATAATTGTATTATATATTGGCCCCTGCTGGCCAAGTTTGTTTGCTTGTTTGTTTATTTCATTATTTTTTACTTATTTATCATTTATTCTTAGTAAAATTTAAATATAGATATATTTTATTTTTAAGAAAACATTAACATTTATATTTATTTCCTTATCTTTATTGATTTGGGGGTCAGTAGGATTATTTTAAATAAATTAATATACTTCTATTCAGTAAGTAAAAAATTGCATAACATTTTTGTGACAGTAGAGACAAAAAGTTTAAAAACTATATTTTGTGACTATCAGTTTATCAAAGAATCTGGAAAAATGCATAATGTTTTTCACAAACATTAAGCAACACAATTGTTTTCAACTGATAAAAAATAAGAAATGTGTTTTGAGCAACAAATCAGCATATTAGAATGATTTCTGAAGCATCATGTGACACTGAAAAGAAGACTGATGCTGAAAATTCAGCTTTGGAATCATCACAGGAATAAATTATATTTTAAAATTATTTATTACAATTTTAAATTGTATTGTAAAAATAATAATAATGTGTATATATATATATATACACACACACACACAGTCATGTGAAAAATTAGGACACCCTATTGAATTCCATGGTTTTCCATATCAGGACATAATAAAAAAAATTATCTGGTCCTTGGCAGGTCTTAAAATTTGGAAAATAAAACAGGGTGATATGGTGCAGGGAGATGAACAACTATGGCATGTTTGGAAGGCTTGCCAGAAGAAAGCCTCTTCAATCTAAAAAAACATGGCAGCACGGTTTAGGCTTGCAAAGTTGCACACAAACCATAAGACATCTAGAATAATGTCCTTTGAACAGACGAGACCAAAGTGGAGATGTTTGGCCATAGGGTCAATGCCAATGAAAGATTGGGTCATACAACAGGACAATGATCTCGAGTACACCAACAAATCTACAACAGAACGGCTGAAAAGAAGAGAATCAAGGTGTTTTTTCGACACCCCAAGCAAAGTCCAGACCTCATCCTGACTGAAATGCTGTGGTGAGAGCTGTGCATAAACGAATTCCCTCCACTGGCCCTTGTCAATCACGGCCTCCTAATAATCCCCATCCACTTGATTGGCTCTATGACTTTCTCTCCTCTCCACCTGTAGCTGGTGTGTAAATGGTAGATTCTTAATCAGAGTATTGTCTTAATCGTATTCAAATCGGAGTATTGTTGTCCATGTAAACGTACTGACTATTAAACAAACCAAAAACTAAACCTTTATGAAAAATATTTGATTCATATTTGATCTGCGGAATGTGATTGCCATTAATTGTCTTTTGTGAGTGAGTGTTGTGCTGGAAACTTTTTCTTTTGTGTTCACATGAACAGCACTGCCAAATCACACTCTTTCACACTAAACCAATGTTTGTGCACAACAGATGGACCTTTGGACCGAGTGTGACGGCATAATCCATTAGTCTATTGTTCCAGCCGCACTGGCTTGCTGGGTTTTTCAGAAAAGCACAAAACCACGTATATGGAGTGGCTGTTTCTCCACTGCACCCAAAAAAAAGCCTCTGAATGGCTCTTTAACCTGATTCCTTGTATTTCATATGCAAGCCAAGTACATAGATGCTCTCAAAGTATTGTCATCGATCCTTAAGGAGCGAGATGTTAGGATTCAACTGCTTTTATAAACTCTGGTGGAAGACTCTTCAGCTGCATAATGGAACAGCAGTGGCACTCAGACACACAAAAACCTTATATCAGGGGTGCCCAAACTTGGTCCTGGAGGGCCGGTGTCCTGCAGAGTTTAGCTCCAACCCTAATCAAACACACCTGAACCAGCTAATCAAGGTCTTACTCTCCAGCGTCTCCTCGTCCCTCGTGTGTGTGCATCGTGACAACCACATGGTGACTGTAGCAATATTACCAGCACTGCCAACAGGGTCTCAGGACCCAGCTATTGCTCAGAGACTCTTACCCTTTAGCTCTGGGAATGCAGCCTTTGATTAAAATAATAATAATAACCAGTAATAATATATTTATATGGAGAAACCAATGTATTTAAAAAATAAATTCCAATAATCCAATATAAAACCACTTTAAATGTCTGAATGTGATTTCATTATATAAAACAATATCAAGTCAAGTGTCATCTGAAAACAAATCACTCTAGAGCTTTTCCCAGAACAAACTTCATATTTCTGAGCTATGGTTTCAATAGCTTATAAGCAACTGGTACAAGAATATGTGTGTGTGTGTGTATATATATATATACACAAACATACAGAAATTATATATTCACTTTTTCTTTTATATATTTTGCTATTTTTATTTTATTTATGTACAATAATATTAATTATATTGTTTCGTTTTTGCATAAATATATCTGTTACGCTGAATGTCCATGTAACATCAACATGATCATTTTATTTTCACATTTTGAAACATTAGAGTAGACACTATAGTAGGCATTTAATATGCAAACGTATATAAAATCACTTTTGTACATTTTGATGTGGACACCAAACTGCAAAGACTTATAAATACACACACACACCATCCCATTTTGTGTTTTGAGGACGATCGATGTGCATTTGATTATTTCATGTCATTTGTTTATTTATGTTTATTTATCCATTTTTAGGTGTTTTCTCTTCTTATTGTAGCTATTGGAGTATATGCCAAAGTTCAGAAAGCAACAGGTATGTGAAGTGTTGTGTGTTCCTCACCTCTGAAAAACTGCAGATGTGTGTGGATCAGTCGAGAGGTTAGCAGTGTTTCTGTTTTTTTTTCCACAGACGCAGTGCGTGACACATTCTTCATTGATCCTGCTGTGTTTCTCATTGTGGTCGGGGTGGTCATGTTCTTCATCACCTTCTGCGGATGCATCGGAGCTCTGCGAGAAAATATACGGCTCCTCAGAATTGTGAGTATTAATGCACATACTTCACATTTTTATTCAAAGTGACTTACAAATTCAGATTACACTTTACCTATATAGGGAAGACTAGCACTAGTTGTCACATCAGGGTTATTAAAGCTGTAAACTAAAACTATTTAAAACAAATTGTTAATTCAAATAAATTAGAAATACAATAACATATAAATATTAATTGCAAATCTAAAAATTTTGAAATGCCATTAACTAAAATTTGCTTCATTTTATGCACTAAAATTAGACTTGAAATAAATCAAAAATAAAACTTAGCTAAAATGAAAAAAAAAAAACTAAAAAGTACTATTAAAAAAAACCATAAAATAACAATAGCACAAAAATTACTAAAACAAATTATAAATCTAAATTATAAAAATAAAAGCTAAATATTAATTAAATATCAGTAGCCATATCTTTAAAGTGTAAACTACACTCACTTAGGCGTACAAACTTTGACATTGACAACTAGCCCCGGTCTTCCCAACACGTCTGTTATCATCAGTTAATTTGATCACTAATTTAAATAGCATTAAATAGCAGTTAAGGACAATTATCACTTCCTTGGTTTTCTTTCCTGCTCCTTTCTAGTTCTCATTTAGTCTTACCCTGGTCTTTCTAACCCAAATGGTCATTGAAATCCTGGGCTTCTTCTACTCTGACCAGGTGGGCTTTCACTTGAAATTTTAGTGTATAAACTAGACGGGTTTTCTGCAGCACTGATACAGGATACGGGCTATCATATGAAACATATTTCATTGTTATGACTTTCACACACTGCAGGTTGTTAAAGATTAATTGAAACATTAGGCTTTGGCTTGGTTAACCTCTTTTAGCAGTCATCTGTCAGTCTCTAAGTCCATCTCATGGGATAGCAAGTCGATTTAAAAGCAATCCACCATTCAGTTCCATTGTTCATCTTATCCTTAACGCCAATTCCCGCTATAGAGTTTCCTATCGTTCTACCTTATCCTAAGTTCTAAAGTTCTACAGTCCAGGAGAAGGTCCCATTGAGTGTATTACATCACACCATACTTCACCATCAGAGCGCAGTGCACACGGTTAAACAGGGCAGTTTAACGACGTCGCTTCAAGCATCGTCGCTGCTTAATGATTAAAGAGCTTTGCCACATCAAAGTGGAACCAACTGTTCTGTTTCAATGGTTGGAGGTTTTCTAGGAGGCTTCCTGGTAATGGCATTCAGAGATGCTTGAACATGCCAGCGTTAGAGGAACTGACAGGGGAGAAGCAGAGAGCTCAGGAGGGCCCCAAGAGTTAATTACCACACTAAAGCATATGCTATTAGAGCCACCATGGTGAATTAGCGCTGTCGACCTGTCTCCCGTAGCACAATTACATATGCACATACAACCCAGATGGAAGTGTTTGATTTTTAGGTATGTATGGAAATATACTTGGTGGCTAGACTGTATGAAGTGTCATGTTCATAGACACGCGATGCTCTGGAGAAATTCGTGAAAAAGGCTATTGTGCACTATCGAGATGACCTGGACCTTCAAAACCTAATGGACTACATCCAAAAGGAGGTATGGGTGTTATTTTGCTCAGACTCTACAAATTCTAAAACATGTAAGATACTATAAGCAGTCATGTGCATTTCTACAATCAAAATGTACTTTATTTACTGTCATTTTTGATCAATTTAATGCATCCTTGCTGAAAAACAATTAATTTTATATATATATATATATTGTCCTTTTTGTCCATTTTTTAAGTGATCAGATGGACATTCTGTAAACTTTTTTTTTTTTAATAAAAAATATGATTTGAAGGTTAAGGTAACATGAAGGTTAGTACAAGATGACAGAATTTTCACTGTTTGGTGCACTGTCTATTCCTATACCTTTTGTTTGGTAATGGTAATATGAACACATGCATGGCTCTCTAAATAAGAAAATGTTCTACTCTCCAATACAGCACAGTATGTTCTCCTGCCTCTTTGTCCTTCTCATAGTGAAAATTCTTATGGGTCCAGCAGACACAAGGTGAATATGTGGTCTGAGAGACAGTGTCTAAAAATACTTTCGCTCCATTCGCTTCTCCTTACAGTTCAAATGCTGTGGTTGGAACAACTACACCGACTGGTCCTGGAACCTCTACTTCAACTGCACCCCGTCAAACCCCAGCACTGAGAGATGTGCGGTTCCCTTCTCATGCTGCACTCCTCTACCAGGAGAGGTGAGAGTCAAGCACCTGATTTTTAATCTGCAGTTATGAATATCCAAAATGGACATAGAAATAGAAGCAGATATGAGGTCTGTCTGTGAAGCGAGGATTCATATGGCGCTTTATGAGTTGAAATAACTTTGGTGCGACTGAAGCTCTAAATCATTATAATTACATTTAACTTTACAATATTGTTTTATATTTCCCCAGTTTCACCCCTTCAAATTTAAAACATTCCCTCAAATGTTCCTGGTACAGTAACTGTATTATCTATATTATAATCATCTCTGCATAATTACCTAAAAATAGCACCTGCTGTGGATATCATTTAAAAGTTTGGAGTCAGTAAGATTTTTAATGTTATTGAAAGACATCTCTTATGCTCACCAAAGCTGCATTTACTTAATCAAAAATACAGTAAAACTGTAATATTGTGAAATATTATTACAATTTAAATTAACTAATTATATTAGAATATAATTGAATGTGTGATTTATTCCTGTGATGCAAAGCTGAATTTTCAGCATCATTACTCCAGTCTTCAGTGTCACTAATATGCTAATATGCTGCTTCTCATAAAACATGTCTTCTTATTATCAATGGTAAACAGTCGAGCTGCTAAATAATTTTGTGGAAAACATGAAACTTCTTAAAAGAAAGTTGAAGAATATAATTTATTTGACACTAAAATCTTTTGCAACATTATATAATTGTTACCGTCACTTTTGATCCTTGCTGAATAAAAGTATTAAATTAATTTTATTTATTTATTAATTATTTATTTTATTTTATTTTATTGTAAATTGCAGACCTAAAGCATACATAAGTTTAATTTGTGGTGCTAGTTACAAAAGTTGTACTAGTATTACTATAGCTCATAGCTCACTCTTAGTTGATATTTTAAACTTGTTTAAGTTCATAACATAATTCAGAAGTTTAAAGTATTTTCTAAGAGATTAGAATCAATTTTCAACCAGTGGACTGATTGAGTGTGGAAAAAAGTGCCAAAAGGACTCGAGCCATGGACATCAAAGACTTGCTGGTCCATGTTCAACTAACCAACCAGAACCTAGCAACTACATAGCAACACGCTAACAACCGCTCAGAACGCTTTAGCCACTGCAAACCCCTAACCTAACAACAGGCAAACACCACTCACAATTTCAGAAAATGTCAAATTTGAGTTCAGTTATACAGTGATCCTTCATTTTGATCCTTTATTTGAACACAATCCCTCCCCTTTTGTTCTCAGTCTTTGTAGTCTAGCATTAGTGCAAAGACAAAGTTGTGTTATTTTTCATCTCATCAGCTCAACAAAACTGTATGTGGTCATCGGTTTATTGCACTCTGCAACAAAGTGCCACGAAAGACGGATTCAAAGTGTCGAGTCAGCCTTTGCCCTTCTTCTACGCCTTCATCTTTAACGATGATGGCCTGTGCCGCTAATTAGCCCAGTTATAATCACATCAGTAAGAGCTTTGTGAAGTTAAACAGATTGGGTTTACCAAACGTATCAGTAATACAAAGTTTCAATTTCGACACAGTTGTCACAGCAGCAACTCGAGGAGAATTTATGGGTTCTGAATTGCTTTCTTGCCTCTCAAGTCAGCGGATGACCGAGCGGTGCCATTTTGGCAAGACGTCCAAAGCAGCTGCTTGGCTCAAATGCGAAATGTGTGCTCCTATTCAATCTGTGAGACGTGTCGAAATGCTGATAAGATACTCAAACAGAACATAGATCACCGATTTAGAGCCACTCCTTGGCAGACCTAAATATTATGATCTCTGTTCCCTTGGCAAATGTCTACGGAGATTGCTGGATAAACACGCTCTAAACAGGTCAGAGCGGACGAAATGCAATTCTTTCAAACAAAAACAGAAGGAAATTGAGGAGCTATGTCACATTTAAAGACGCTGAGAGCGAAAAGCTGTGTGGTTTACAGGTTTAATTGTTTTCCAGTATTCAAACGTATTGTTTTAAGTGAAAAGAATGACAGAAAATGCGGTGATTCATCCAAACAGATGTTCACATGAAGACGATGGCACTGCTCTATGGCATCTGCGCAAGCAATATGAAAATTAATCATAATATCATTTCAGGGAGACCTGCAGGGATCACATGCGTTAGTTTAACCATCAACAAAATATATTTATAAATGCTGTTAAAAGTGGTATTTTATCCCCTTTTGGACATTAAAATGATCTTTGAGATGCAAACGTGTAGGTTTCTTGTCAGCTATCAGTCATGGATACTGCAAGCTGTGTGAAATCTCTGTAGAAAAGGGTGATGAATGATTAAACCACACATTAAGGAAATTCCTGGTGCAAACATTCAATTGAAAACTGCATATGTCTACAGATGTGACCTTGACCTGCATTCTACATCTGCAGCCCACTAAACAAAAGGGAATTCAACATCCTCAGGTTGCGTGGTAAAAGAGTTGTAAAAAGCTTAAGGGGAAGTGACCGGCCCCCATTAGATAACGTAGGATGCAGTCGAGTCAGAAAATCTAGTTGGATGGGTAGGTGTTAAAAATGTGCATGCCAGATGAGAATAATCATCAACGACAGAATCAAAAGCACTAAGAATCTCTACAATATTAAGTAATTTACATGTGTGCTTGTCAGGACAGCTGCTAATGTGTGCAGGTGTTTTTTTTTTTTTACTGTGTTTTGAAGATGCTAAGGTGTTTTGGGTGGTTGTTAGATGTTTGCTTACTCTCCCAAAATCACCTCAGATGATATTCTGGTCCCCAGATATGGCAAAAATATGCATAGTATTAATAGTGCTGCTTGTTTTAGCAAACCTAATAATTAATCATGTTTGTATTTGTATACTATAGATTTAAAATGAGGTACATTAAAGGGGTCATATGATGCGATTTCAAGTTTTCCTTTCTCTTTGGAGTGTTACAAGCTGATTGTGCATAGATAAGATCCCTGAAGTTGCAAAGACTAAAGTCTC